GGACCTTTCGGAGCCCAGTCGGGTTCTAGCTTGTGTGGTCTCTCGGTCTTCCTTGTTTGATCGCATTCGGGAGCGACAGTATGATGACCCCTATTTGCTTGATCTCAGGGGTAGGGTGGAGCTTGGCGATGCCAGAGATGTATCTATTGGAGAGGATGGGGTATTGAGGATGCAGGGGCGGATCTGTGTGCCCGATATTGATGATATTCGAGGCTATATTGGCAGAGGCTCATAGCTCGCGGTATTCTATCCATCCGGGTGCCGCGAAGAAGTATCAGGACTTGAGGCAGCATTACTGGTGGAGGCGGATGAAGAAAGACATAGTGGAATTTGTAGCTAGATGCCTCAACTGCCAGTAGGTAAAGGCCGAGCACCAGAGGCCGGGTGGATTACTTCAGCAGATTGAGATACCTGAGTGGAAATGGGAGAAAATCACCATGGATTTCATAGTTGGTCTTCCGTTGACGGCAAAGAATTTTGATTCCATTTGGGTCATTGTGGACCGGTTGACCAAGTCCGCTCATTTCATCCCAGTGTGTACTACTTACTCAGCGGAGCGGTTAGCATAGATCTATATCAGGGAGATTGTTCGCCTGCACGGTGTCCCGGTTACTATTATTTCGGACAGGGGTCCTCAGTTTACGTCACGGTTTTGGAGGACCGTTCAGCATGAGCTAGGCACTCAGGTGACCATGAGTACAGCTTTTCACCCTCATACGGACGGACAGTCCGAGCGCACCATTCAGATTCTTGAGGATATGCTCCGTGCGTGCGTGATCGAGTTTAGAGGGTCTTGGGATACATTCCTGCCGTTGGCGGAGTTTGCATATAACAACAGCTATCAGTCCAGCATCCAGATGGCACCTTATGAGGCTTTATATGGTAGACGGTGCAGATCGCTGGTGGGATGGTTCGAGCCGGGTGAGGCGAGACTATTGGGTACAGATTTGGTACAGGATGCGGTGGAGAAGGTTAAGGTGATTCAGGATCGACTCCGTACAGCCCAGTCCAGACAGAAGATTTATGCGGACCGGAAGGTTCGCGATGTTTCCTTCATGGTTGGTGAGCGGGTTCTGCTTCGGGTTTCGCCTATGAAAGGCGTCATGAGGTTCGGAAAGAGAGGGAAGTTGAGTCCAAGGTTTATTGGCCCTTTTGAGATTTTGAGGCAGATTGGGAAGGTTTCCTATGAGCTTGCTTTGCCTCCTAGTTTGGCCGAGGTTCATCCGGTATTTCATGTTTCGATGCTTCGGAGGTATCATGGCGATCCGTCACATGTGTTAGAGTTCACTTCAGTCCAGCTGGACAAGGACTTGTCCTATGTTGAGGAGCCTGTGGCAATTCTGGACAGGCAGATTAGAAAGCTCAGGTCTAAGGAGATAGCCTTAGTGAAGGTTCAGTGGCGGGGCCAGCCAGTCGAGGAGGCGACTTCGGAGACCGAGCGGGATATGCGCAGCCGTTACCCTCATCTATTTGCTATTCCAAGTATGTTCTCTATGCTCGTTCGAGGACGAACGAATGTTTAAGTGTGGGAGGATGTAACGACTCGACCGGTCGTTTTTAGAAATTTCACCCCGTTTCCCCGTTAAATGCTTCCCCTAAGTTTAATTAAGCTATTTTGATTTGCCGGGATGTTCGGTATTTGAATTCGGAGTGTTTTTGGACAAATAGTCCTTATTTGAGAGGCTAAGTGTTGGAAAATGGTCCGTTGTTGGAACAGTGTCAAGACGACCTCGGAATAGAAATCCGATGGTTCCGTTAGTTCCGTTAGGTGATTTCGGGGTGGGGAGCGTGTCCGGATTGTATTGAGGATGTCCGTAGCTATATTAGCCTAGAAATACCGGAAATTAGAAATTTGGAACATCCGGTCTGATAGTGAATTTTTGATCCGAGGGTCGGAATGGAATTCCGAGAGTTTCAGTAGGTTCGTTAGGTGATTTTGGATATGTCCGCAAAATTTCGGGTCAATCGGACGTGTTTTGGATAGGTTTTGAAGCGAAAGCTTTTTGTTAAGTTTTGGAAAATTTTTTAAGTTGAAATCTTTGATTAATTCGTATTTCCGGAGTCGTTTTAGGTGGTTTAAGGATTGGTGCAAGTTCAAATGATGTTATGGGATATGTTCGTAGGTTTGGCTTGGAACCCCGAGGGCTCGGGTGAGTTTTGGATAGGCGTCGGGTCATTTTTGGCTTTGCTGGTGTGTTGCAGACCCACAGGCATCGCAAATGCGAAGCCTGGTTCGCAATTGTGAAAGGGTCTGGATGCCAGCCGTCCTCGCAAATGCGAGATTCACTTCGCAAATGCGAAGCTCCCCCTGTCTGCCCCTTCCTCGCAAATGCGAGTTTCCCTTCGCAAATGCGAAGATCCCTAGTCCCAGCCCCCGTCCGCAAATGCGAACAGCACATCGCAATTGCGATGTCCCCTTCTTCCTTCCCCCAGTCGCAATTGCGATGATTTTCTCGCAATTGCGAAGAACCCTCAATTCCTTCCCAGTTCGCAAATGCGAAGATCCAGGTACTTCCGGCACGACATTCCAGCAGTGAGCCCGGAGCTGACCCCAGGAGACTTGAGGTATGAATCTGCCACGTCCGTAGATCCGACGAGTCTTCCTTCCACTCTATCCATAGTTAGATAGCATCTTTTTCTGTTTCATTTGTACTAGACTTCCGGATGATTAGAGCTTGTTATATTTGGAATTCTTAGCCTGTGTTGCCCGTGAGTTTCCGGGTTTTGGGATGATTTCAGGAAGTTTTTATATGTTAAGTGTATGTGTCGGGCGGTGCCCATTACATTTCTTATATTATCTCAGTTATTTGTCTCTCCTTATGAAAAATATGTATTTCCGCAATAAGTTAGGCTTACCCGGCCTCGCCGGCCAGGTGCCGTCATGACATGTTCACCGTCGGTGAACTAGGGTCGTGACACTTTCAATACTTCAATCAATATTTCTTCCTGTTCTGTAGTTAGAGAAGATGAAATAATTACTGAAAATAACTCATGCTCAAGATAGACATATTTCAAATGAGAAGGGAGAGTTTTAAGTTCAATTTTTGGTTGAATTTCTTCTAGTTTCATGTCCCCTTCCTCACAATCTTTTTTCAATAATTTTGCATCACTTCTTATAGTCGGATCTTCATCCTGTGTGGTGCCAGATTTTGCCAAACATCTTTCCATTGAGTCAGAGATTAATTGATCATCTTTGAATTCATCTATAAGATTATTAACAATGTCAATTGAAAAGCATGAAGATGATGTATCATCTTCTGAGAATCTTAATATCTTTTGCATATCAAAAATAACTCTTTCTTCATCAACTTTTAAAATTAGTTGTCCTTAATGGACATCTATAATTGCCCTGCCTGTTGCAAGAAATGGTCTACCCAAAATAATTGGTTCATCAGGACACTCCTTCATTTCAAGTGCTATGAAATCTACAGGAAAAATAAATTTATCTACTCTTACTAGCACATTTTCAATTATTCCCCGAGATCTCTTAGTACTTTGAATAGCAAATTGAAGTGAAACACCTGCGTTTTTCATTTCACCAAGATCTAATTTTTTAAAAATAGAAAATGGCATCAAATTTATTGAAGCTCCTGAATCACAAAGTGCTTTTTCAATGTATACTCCTCCCAGAGTACATGGAATGGTAAAACTACCTGGGTCACCAAGTTTTCGTGGTAGCTTATTTTGAAGTATAGTGCTGCATTTTTCAGTAAGCATTACCACAGAAACTTCTTCTAATTTCCTTTTGCTTGATAAAATTTCTTTCAAAAATTTGGCATATGAAGGCATTTGTAATAAAGCATCAGTAACAGGAATGTTAATATGAATTTGTTTTAAATCTCCAAAAACTTTGCAAATTGATTATCAAGTTTTTCTCTTTTCATCTTTTGTGGGAAAGGAATTGTAACAGGGAAAGAAGTCAAATTTTTAGTATTTTTTTCTTCTTTTTTCTTGGATTCTTTCTCTTCTGATGGTTGAGAGAATGTCTCAACATTCTCACCCTTTCCTACCTGTTGTTCCAATTGATTCTTTTCCTGTTTATTTGCATAGGGTTCATCAAGAGTCGTACCTGACCGTAAGACAATGGCCTTAAGGTGTTCTTTTGGATTTTTTTCTGTATTGTTTGGTAAAGGACCTTGAATCTTTTCAGACACAAGAGTTGCCAATTGGCTTAACTGAATTTCAAGATTTTTTAAAGCTGAATTTTGGCTTTTCATCTTTTCATCAGTAACCTTAATGTACTTGTACAAAAGGTCATCAGGACTTGGATGGCCTTGTTGAGGCCTTTGCTGATATGGAGTTGCCTGCTGATAAGGCCTGAAATTTTGTTGTCCACGATTTTGATTTTGATATCCGAGTGGACTCTGTACCTGTTGCTTTTGGTAGTTTTGAGAGTTTTCAGCACCATTTGCATTGCTCCATTGAAATCCTGGATGTTTTTGTGCTAATGGACTTCCAAAAGGATACAGCTTGTATCCGATGACATTAACCTGTTCATCATTTTGATTGGTTGTTTGACATTCGTGGTTTAGATGGTTTCCTCCACACAAGTCACAAGCCTCACACTGGCTTGGTTGTTGTGTATTTACCTGAAAAGATTCAAATTTTTGTGCCAAAGAAGCAATCGATTGTGTTAGTGTATTTAAAGCATCCACCCGATTTACTGTAGCAGCTTTCTTAATAATTACACGCTCAGATGGTCATTGTATGACATTTTTAGAAATTTCATTAAGCAATTGCAATGCTTCTTTTGTGGTTTTTCCCATTATGGAACCTCCTGCAACTGCATCTATTACATTTCTAGAAGATGGTTTTAAACCATGATAAAAAATGTACAACTGCATATGTTCAGGAATGTCATGATGTGGACATTTCCTTAACATTGTTTTCAATCTTTCCCAAGCTTGATAAACTGACTCAGTGTCAGTCTGCAAGAAGTTAGATATATCCTGTCTTGATTTTGTTGTTTTAGCAGGGAAAAATTATTTATTTAAAAATTTCTGAGTCATTTGGTCCCATGTGGTAATAGACCCTTGCGGCAAACTTCATAACCAAGTTTTGACCTCTCCTTTTAAAAAAAAGGAAATAGCCTTAACTTAATTTCTTCAGGAGGTACTCCATTATACTTTGTAGTTTCAACCAATTCTAAAAAGTCAATTAAATGACTATGTGGATCTTCACATAGATCACCTGTGAAAATACAAGATTGTTGAATTGTTTGAATCAGGCCTGTCCTGATTTCAAAGTTATTGGCTGCTACTAGAGGTTTCCTGACACTAGATTCACAGTTAAAGCGATCAGGTCTAGCATAATCCCTTAGGATTCTATTTGCTGGTCTTGGTACCACTTCATCAAACTGCTCCTCTACATCAGCTGGTGGTGGAATTTGTAGTGGATTGTTATCATCTTCTAATTGGTGCTCCATTCTGTTACAAGTTATGTTTTGAGATGATATTTGTCCTTTCTTGCACAATCGCAAAGTTTTTTTCAATTTCAGGATCGTAATTGGCCAACTCTTTTGCAGAAGAGCGGGTCATAAACTATCTGTAATTAAAGAAAAATAAAGACAGTTCCTAAAATAGTATTAGATATATATTTTTTTATTTTCAATAAAATATTATTTTATAAAATATATTAAAAGTAATAGTTATAATATTAAATAGAATAGTACAAAGGGTACTTTTAGAACTAGAATAGTAAAAAACAAGTACTTGCAACTATATTAATAATAAAAATATTAAAATATACTTTAAAAGATGACAAATAAAAAAAATGATATATTGAATCACAAAACTAATATATTATACTATTATATAGATGTTAGTACTAACAAAAATAATATAATAATATAATAATAAAATATAAAATAAAGTAGGTTGAAGTACTAGTTATGAGGGATTTCTTTTCTTTTTTCTTTTTCTTTTTATATTTTTTTTACAATATTATATAGAATTGCTCTTAATAATAGTACAATTATGATAGTAGTATGTAGGAGATAATATTTTGAAGGAAAAATTAACAATATACTAAATTTTCAAATTAGTAATAAAATATTTAATCTGAAGTAGATGTGTGCCAATCCCCGGCAACGGCGCCAAAAATTTGACGAGGCTTGTGTGTATAGAATTTTCTGCTCGTACTCTGTCAAGTTCTAGTATAGTTTATGATATCGTCCTACAGAGATTGGACAATCTAAGCTACAGACTTGTAATATTTTGACTACTATTTGAGAGAACCAAATTGATGAAAGGTGTGTTTGAAATTATAAAATATGACAGATTTCTTCCGAAAAAGTTTTATATTTAAAAAGAGTTGAGAATTGTTGAATTCACTTGCTATATCATTATAATAAAATTTCAGTTTCATACGTATTTCTCTAAAGAATAATTGCTTATTGCTAATACAATTATATTTTTACACTAAGAAATAAATAAATAATTAACACTCTGTGAGGTTATGTCAATTAATTGATTTAAAACTAGTGACAATTAAATTGAAATATCTTGCCTGAATTTTGCTCAAGTGTAGTAAAAACTTCGTGAGAATATATTTACTAGAAAATCAATAATCTTGCCTTCAACAATTCCTCCGTGAGAATTAAAACTGAGGAAAGCAAGATTATAAGCTTGAAACAATAATCTTATTAAAAATTATTTTGACTCTAATTGTCACGACCCCAAATCCCGGTCGTGATGGCGCCCTGCCGTAAGGCTAGGCAAGCCCGACCA